TGTGCCCCTGTACTCAGTGCTGGTGAGGCCACACCTTGAATACTGTGTTCAGTTTTGGGCCCCTTACTACAAGAAAGGTGTTGCATTGCTGGAACATGTCCAGAGGAGAGCAACAAAGCTGGTGAGGGGTCTGGAACACAAGTCATATGAGGAGCGGCTGAGGGAACTGGGGTGATTTAGTCTGGAGAAGAGGAGGCTGAGGGGAGACCTGATCGCCCCCTACAACTACCTGAAAGGAGGCTGTAGGGAGGTGGGGGTCGGCCTCTTCTCCCTGGTAACAGACGATAGGACGAGGGGGAATGGTTTGAAGCTGTGCCAGGGCAGGTTTAGGCTAGACATTAGGAAAAACTTCTTCACCGAAAGGGTTGTCAGGCTCTGGAATGGGCTGGCCAGGGAGGTGGTAGAGTCCTCCTCCCTGGAGGGATTTAAAAGAAGGATAGATGAGGTGCTTAGGGCCATGGTTTAGTGGTGGGATGGCAGGGTTAGGTTAAAGGTTGGACTCAGTGATCTCAAAGGTCTTTTCCAACCAAAGTGATTCTATGATTCTACGATTCTATGATTCTATGACCCACTCATGCCCATTCAGCTGCCGACACTGTGGGCATAGGCTTCTGCTGCATACTTCCTTGGCTTCCTGGGGCCCACCATGGCATCTGCATGCACTTCCTTGGATTCCTCCATTCCGCTGACCCTGGAAGTGCTCCGCGCTGTTCTCCTGGGAGAAGGGCTGCCCTCATAAGCAAGCACTACGTCACACTCGAGGTGTTTGACACATGGGGGTTTTGGTTTGGGTTTTTTTTTTGGTGTGGGTAAGTCACTATAGAAGTGGTGAAAAGGGGTGATATGGCCAAAGGACGGATGGACACATCTGTCAAACCCAGTTCTAGCTATGAAAAATCTTTTTGCACAGTTCACCTCTTCCCTCTGTCTCCTGCCAGTTGCCAGGCATCCCCCTCACGGGCCCCCAGCTTCCTTTTAGTCAGGCTACCATGTACCCCCATACCTCTTTGGCAGAGAGCTGCAGGGTATTTAAGGAACCTGCAGTAGCTTACCAGAGCAAGCCTTTCTGCCGTGAAGTCACGGTCAGCAGTCTGTTCGGCAGGAGGAAAAACGTAGCTGCGAAAGAAGGACATCAAGGTTTTCCCTTTCCTCCCCTCAAATCTCTTCATTTCTGTGCCGAACAGGCGGCGGGTGCCCTTGCCTCTGCTTGCAGAGCACAGCTTTTCCTCCCAAGGAGGCGGTGTTAGTTCATGCTTTGATGCAGAAGGACCTCTGGTGTCCCTTCTGAGCTTATGCTTTGGCCTCCCAGCTCTAGCTCAGTATTTCTTGATCTCAAGACCTTCCTACCAACTGGGGAAAGAGATAAGGTCCTCACAGCGTGCCTGGGGAAGCGGCTGGGGAAGACAAGGCTGGGTTGCTCCTCCCTGGGGAGACTGTGCCCCAGGATCACCTTGCTTTGCTTCTACCACCCCTTCTGCATCCTTTTTTCTTCACCCCAGGGGCCTCTCTGTGCCTTTTTGTGTGCCGCGGGCCACTCCGTTCAAATACATCACATTAAATGCTTCTGGGGCCTCAGTCACAAGTTTTCCACTGCGTTTCAGTGAACGCCAGTCTAGATCTGTAGAGTCATGTTGCGCTTCTTGGGACTTCTGTAGGGTGCCCCACCAAAATCTGTGCTTAATATTCAGCAGCATAAAATTTTTCCTTAAGCAGATTGAATTTAATTCATCAGCGGGAGCTATGAGGAATACCATGAAAATACTCTTATGTGTTTTGATCCATTTCGTCATTCCCATGGGTATCCCTTATTTCATCATCGAGATGGTCCTGCATGTACCACTCCAGGGAGAAATGGCGGGAGGTGGGGCAGGCTGGGTGGCCTTTTCTGCAAGGGAGGGGGGGGGAGGGGAAGCTTCCAGGGTTTTTGAAGGCAGGGGGGCATTTAGCAGACGATAGGAGTGACTGTGTGAGAATGGAAGCAGCCAGATTTTAGACATCGATGTATTTCTAACCCAGGCGTTTCACTTGCTGCTGGACTTCAGGCAGCTGAGCAGACCCTCTGAATTTGCACAGGCTCTTCCTCAGGGCACAAGGAGCAGCAGCAGGGCACAGGGACCAGCAGCGTAGGTCTCCGAGCTTACAGAAACCCGCTGGGGATGGAGAGGGTCGGGTCACTCGCTCTCCGAGGTGGTCGCTGCAGTCGAAGGGCTGCCTCTTCCACACGGCAACCGCCACCCCCCTTCTCCCCGCCTCAGGGTCTCCCCTCCCGCGGACCGCAGGGAGCCGGGAGAGCGCCCAAGCCCAGCGGCTCGCACGGTTCCAGGCA